CTGAATGACAAGAACAGGGAAACCTCTCATACCTTTGCAGCCAAGCTGATGTTCCTGTGCAAGCATGCTCGACCAGATGTGCAAACACTAACAATTGTTATCTGCACACGTGTGAGGAAACCCACAGTTGATGAATGGGGCAAGTTGATACAAGGATTGAAGTTACTGGAACAAACAGTGGAGTACAAGTTGATACTCCACGATGATGATATCCGTGTCATCACATGGTGGGTGGACGCATCATTTGCAGTCCATACTGATTACCGTTCCCATACAGCAGGAGTCATGTCCTTTGGAAATGGTGCGGTGCTGTCTGTGCCTGCGAAACAGAAATTGAATCCGAGGAGCAGCACGGAAGCGGAATTTGCATTGGAGCTGACGGTGTTATGTCGCCCATGTTGTGGCAAAGTTGTTCCTTGAAGAACAGGGGATCGTTGTGAAAGACAACATCCTAATGCAGGACAACAAAAGCACGATCATTCTTGCATGAATGGCAAAGGCAGTTCGGCAAAAGAACTCGGGCTTCAGTATCAACATTCGTTTCTTTTTAATTCATGACCAAATTGAAAGCAACTCTTATGAGTTGTGTACTGCCCAACCTTGGAATGCGTGGAGATTTTTTCACGAAGCCCCTTCAGGGCAAGCTCTTTCACGAGCACAGGGCTTTCATCATGGGGCATCCACCCCTTGTTTGGATTGCCTAATTTTCTTATTCGTTCCACGGTAGCCACTTGGGCACCGTGCAGGCAGTGTGTTGGAGGAAACATTACCTGACACCTCTTTATCTATTGACTCGTGTATTAATCATCTAGACCGGTTCGCATGTAAATTATCATGCAAGGAACAAAGGGTTTTTAGTCTAAAGTGTTGCGGGGGTCCTTTATCCAATTCAATACACAAGAATTGCTATGCCACCCACCAGAAAATCCTCACTTTTGCTTTTCAGCTTAATCTAAAACCAAATTACTCCCCAATAAGCTGCAGTATTACTAGCAAACAACAACTGCTGACCCTACTGTTGGAGTATACAGATGTCACAGCGATTCTTCCACCTGGCTAAACCAGCACAGCTGCTTCGCACCACAATGGGAGTTCACGTGGATTTCCACTCATCGCTAAGCTCAGAGCAACACTATTAGTAGTTGTCTTGGACACATGTGTGTCAATTGGATCATCTCCTAATTTCGTCTCCTAATTTTTTCCCCGTCTCCTAGCAGTTTACGATCGTCTCCTAATTTTAGGAGACGATCACGATCGTCTCCTAAATCTTTGATAGGAGACGTTTTTCGTCTCCTAAATTTTTCGTCTCCTAAATTTTCGTCTCCTAAAATTAGGAGATGATGCACGAATGACGTATCTTCTGACGTCACATATTCCGTGACTCCGAAACACGACTAATTGGTAGCACGTTTCCACAGAGGTCCCAGTTCGGAAAGGCGCTTCTGTGAGCTTCACATTCGGAGGAAATCGAAGGATAATCTTCCGAAGACGTCTTGACGGGTCTAGCTTCTCATAAGCTACAAGAGCGGCTCGGTGTCCGAGCTTGATATCTTCATTTGTCTGACGAGCATTGTATTGATCTCCATCATGACGGAATGGAGCAGGATAAATGGGCTTGTACAGTACCAACTCATTAGAACCATCCACGAACCGGATAAGATAGAGATCTTCGGACGTGTCGCGGGTGTCGACAATCATCTCAATTTCGATGCCACCCTTCCAGCGGATATTGCCGTGGGTAAAATCAGCAATGCTGAAGCAAAATACTCCCTCGCCTTGATATCCAGGACTGGAAGCATCGATGTCGATCACAATATCATCTAAGAAGAAACAAAACAATGTAGTGAGTAATTGGATCCACCATCCAGCCCATCTCAACTGCCATGTTTCATACCAAAATCGGACATGGTTGCCTTTTTCCTTGTGACTCTCGGCGTCTGGTTTGTTTGTTTGGGAGTTGTGCTGAGACGGGGTGCTTTTGTTGTTTTGGGAGTTGCTGATGATGCAATCTTCCGTTCAGCTTCAGGTTCTGCCTTGTCTTCAAGTGAGAGGGAGTCCAATGAAAGATCGTCCAGGATATCGTCTCCGATCTTCGTTGATATCGTCGCTGGCAGTGTATCTTTCTTTTTCTTGCTGGAAGCTATCTTTTTCGTGGTAGGCTTCTTGGGCGTTTTCGTTTTCGTCGATTCTTTCTCCTTCTCCGTGCTCAAGGAGGAACCTCGTTTCTTTTTCTTTCGCAAATGAGCTGGTGTGACACCAAGAAAGGCAAGCCGTTCAAGATACACAGCCTCCGTAGCTCGCTTCCACTTTGTTACCTTTTGGGAGATCTTTCTCCTCTGCTCCCAACTCTCCGTAGAATTCTGGCTGCTCCAAAGTGTACGTTCGATGGTCGCAAAGCTCCTTGACTCCTTGTCTCTTCCCTTTGTCGAAATGCCACAATCCTCCAGCACTCTCGATGTCCTCCGCGAGCTGCTTCTCGATCCAGTGTGCCAATCTCTGTCTGGTCGAACTGCTACCTCCACTCGCAAACGATGGGATTGACTCCGCGTCACTTCCACCCCCACCAGTAACTTTCTTTGGTGTTGTTGTCTCCTTGGACGACTTTCGCCTTGACCGAGTGTTCATTGTGAGGGTTTTGTTTGGGCTGTTTGCTGGGTTGGCTTGGCTGCTCAAGAACCGCCAAATTCAAACCAACGCTTCCTAGCATTCCTCAATTGAATTCTTTATACAATATTACTAGAATAGGAACAATAATGCTGAGAATTGGTCATAGACGAAGGCGTCATTCACAAAGTAAGATCCAACCAAACCAGCAAACTGCCCACTTTCCTAGCCAGATGGCTGCCATTCCCCTTTCAGTTGCTCCTGCCGGAGGCGAAGTCTCTTCTGATGATGAAGAAGCTGCAAAGGATGTTGCATGGGCTAATCATCCTGCCAGGGCTGTGCTGAAACGGGGATTCGAAGATGGGACAATTCCATTGAACTATAGCAAAACCATCAAGCCAAGAGGGGTGTACGAGCTTTTCGAAGATGATCCCGCCTTTCAAGGAATGCCTTACAACACGAAATTCACTAATCGTTTGCGGAGTCTGAAGAACCAGGTTGGAGCCAGAGTAGATCGACAACAAGAGGACCAAGCAGCTTTTGACTTGTTTCGGAAGAACACACCAAAGAAAACTCACAATTCAAAAGGCGAACCAAGATGGGAAGGGTCTGATGCTGAGCTTTCGCTGAAGCAAGATGTAGCGGATGGACTACACGTTGGAGTGAAGCCACGAGACTTTCAACAGACTCGAGAGGAGTATCTCGTATTTGATCTTGCTAACGTGGGGAAATACTACTTGAATAGAGGGATCTTGTAGAGGTAGCTACCACCCGACGAGATCAACTGCAACTATTCAAGACGAGTGCAAGGTAAATGCAAAGTTCGCTTCTTAGTTAATTCATAATCTGTGTTTGAGCTTTGATTGATGCGATCAGTAACGCTAGTTGTAGCGTGTTGGATCAATACATCGTGGTAGTTGATACGGAAGTCAACGTGGTTTTTGCGAGAACGGTTCGTTGCAGATGCTTTACTCCTGTCGATACTCCAATTTACCGTGCCTTTGGTTTCGTTGAGACTGTTCTTGCCAGCGTTCTCTGTTCATCGTGTTGACTCATAAAACATGACCCAATCTACTCACGGATACTCTGAGTCGTGGGATTAACTGTAACGCTTTCACACTCCCCTCAGTGGCGACTGTCGACTCTGAGTATTTCTATACCGCAAACCTTGGTATCTCTG